CTTCCATTTGTCATATGCTGTGTAGAACAGCTGGAACGGCCTACAGCCGATTCAAAGCCGATTTTTGCAGCCATATCCCGAATCTCCACTGGAATGCCTTGAAGGCCAGGAAGGTCACCTGGACTAGGTTCAGGAACGTTCTGAATAGCCTCCTTCGATAATGCGAAAGGAATGGGTAGCAAAGCTTTGCTTTCTTTCTTAAGAAAGAGGGATTCATGCTTGACAAGTAAAGCAAGCAAGTTCATCAGGATAATCGGTGGCGCAAAAGCTTTACCATGCGCTCATGTGCTGTTTTCAATTCACAGTATTCCTCGGACTCTTCAGTGGTATCAGATCCTGTAATGGCTGTGACCTCTGTCCTACTGTGTTCAGCACCCTCTACAAAATGGGCTTCAGGGAGAGAGACCTTCTTGACCAGCAGCAGGTCAACAGGGTGAGCCTCAAAATGGTACGCATAGAAGGACTTCAACTCAGCATCCAAGATCTACTTGGAAGTGGTAAGTTTGGGGCAGGGTTGAATTATTCATCTTTGAAAGACTGTCACTCAATACTCATGGGTGCTCATGCTTGACTACAGACCGAAAAGGAGATTGAGGACTTCATGGTTATGCTGGGTTCCACTTGGACTCAGAAGCAACCGACCAGGACATACACGCACGTGTCCGGAAGTCTGTGGTTGAGAGATGGAACAACCGCAGGAAGTGGATTGGAAATCTACAGCAGCAGGCCAATATGGAGGGTGAGTACTAAGAGTACTTTGGAAACAGTATTACAATTGTTTTTGGGGGGATTCAATGTCCTGCTACTGTGTATGCTGCAAATTCATTCTAGCCTTTATGTGTAAATGCAGAGATAAGAGGAGAGACTTAGTTATAGTTTGGGGTTATTGGGTTTTCAACTTGCTTGTATTGAAACCTCAAATATGCATACCATGAAAGATACATGCCTGCATACATCATACCTGCAGCTGAAGACCTTACTAACCATGACATGTGCATGCCTTGCCAGCAGATGCTTTGAGTTTCAACTCCTTTGGAGCTGACAAAGAGGAGTTTGAGAAGTACCAGTCTTCACAGTCGCACCTGGAATACTTGCAGAAGAGCTTAGGGCCTCTAAACAATGAAGATGACAAGTTTGTCTTCATTGTCAAGGGCAAGGACAGTCTTGTGCTCTTACAGGGTGTTTCCACTGAAAAGTCTGTTTGTTAGCTGTGAAAAAGTTATTGGCATGCTAACAAACCCTAACAAAATGGTGTTTCCACTAGTAGCCCCGAAACCATCTTTTTGCACTTCATTTAGCGCCAAAACACCCTAATTCGAGAACAATATTGTAGTCAGTAAAGGAGAAATGAGGGTCGAGGTTATCTTACAGATCGTTGCTGGGCTTCTGCCCGTTCTCATGCACTTGCTTCTGTCCCTTTCGCTGGACGGCAACCAGCTTACCGGCAGCCAGGCTGCAGCTGTTACTGCTGCTGCTAATGCCATGGGTAGGATAGCCGAGATAGTGGATGTGCACCCACACTCCTTCCGTATGTACCCATCGCCATGGTGGGTAGAGCCCCACCCAACCGACTTATACTGCCAGTTTGTCCTGGAGCACTGGAACGAGGAGACCTTTCGTGCCAACTTTTGTATGGAGCGCTCTTCATTCCAGGATCTGTGCGAGGCCCTGCGGCCGCAGTTAGCCCGCCAAGACACTCGCATGCGCCAGGCCACCCCCGTGGAGCAGCAGGTCGTGATGGCTATGTTCCACCTGGCGCAAGGCAGAAACTACCGTGTTGTGGAGAACTGCTTCGCTGTTGCCCGCCCTTATAGTCTCGTGCTAACAAGCTAAACATCCTAAACATCACTACAATGGCACTTAAGATTGCACTCCGGATTGATAGGGATTTGGATTCTGTTAAACTTTTCTTGGATCGGAGTCCGCGAGGTTGCGGGTTCCAATGAGCATTGGCATTTTTTAGTGGAGACTGATTCTTATCGGAACATTCAGAGCTTTAGGGTAGCATTGACTCGGAAGATTCCCACTCTGAAGGGAAATGCTTGTTATAGTGCTACGGTCGTTAGCGATTTGGAGAAGTAGGGCGAAAGCGAGGGAGCTGGTCCTGAGGTTGTTTGGCGGCATTCTTTGAAGTATACAGATGAGAAAATTGAAGAGCTTCATATTGGATATTGGACTGAGAATAAGCGTCTTCGTAAGCGGAAAGCTGGTTCCGTTATCGATGCAGTCATCGATATCGCGAAGGACGAGAACGTTCATTGGGAACGTCGGGAGAAGCTGGCCGAGCTGTATTTGAAAGAGGTGGTGTCTCGGAATCGTCCTGTGAACATTTTCGCGGCAAGGAGTGCCGTGAATACGATCCAGATCCAACTTTGTCCGGATGACACTGCTATAAAACGGTTCTCTGAGATGATTTGAGGTAAGTAGCAAGATGGTGTCTCCTATCTATACTTACAACTACGTGTTTGCTGGTCCTCTTGATGTTCGTGATTATCTAGACTTGCCGCGGTCTGATAAGCGTGCAGTGTGTGCGATGGCTTCCCAAATGAATCCCATTCAGTATAGTTTCATTTACGGTTTTGAGCCATGGAGAGCGAACTCGTTGATGCAGTACTTGATTTTTGAGGCCGCTAGATATCGGTTTGCCCGTGGATGGTTTGTTTTCTCGACCTTGTTTCCAGAGCTTCCAGATATCGTTGATATGACCAGAGAGATTGCAGATTTGACTAATGCTGATGGACCACGGATTTGCCATCAGTGTGCACTGTCTGATGAGCTCTGCTAGTGCGGCCTCCCGCGTAATTTGGCGCCTGCATTCGATGCTGTTGCTGGAAATGCTCGGCGCCGTCAGAATGGTCGTCGTCGTCGGCGTGACTCTGCGTGACCTGGTGAGTATCCTGCGAATTGTGCTGCGGTGACTGCGTGTTGTGTGCGGTGGAAGCGGAGAAGTCTGCGTGGGGGGGAAGCGGTTATGCGTTGTGAGAGGCGGCTAGGATGTAGCACTATAACAAGCATTTCCCTTCAGAGTGG